AATTGATATGCTTTCTTGAAGAAGTGAGTTTTCAATGATTTTTTTGAATGAGTGGAGACTGGGTGAAAGTCTTACGGAGAAGAGATGGGAGTTCCACAGAAGAGGTGCAGCCCTGGAGAAATCTTGGAGGCGAGCATTAGAGGTGGGAGTACGGACAGACGATATACGTAGGTCTTTGGCAAAGCGTGGGGGCCTTAACGGGACATACTTGTGAATTAGGGAGGATAGCAGCATTATGTAAGGACTTGTAAGCAAGCACCAGAATTTTAAATTGAGCCCTATATATAACTGGAAGCCAATGCAGGGACTGACAGAGCGGGGAGGCATGGGAGGTGCAAGCGGACAGGAAAATGAGGCTCGCCGCTGCATTCGTTATAGATTGCAGAGGTGCAATCTGGGAACACGTAAGACTACTGAGAAGGGTATTGCAGTAGTCAAGGTGAGAGAGAACTAGAGCATGGACCAGCACCTTAGCCGCATTCAGGGTTAAATAGGGGTGGATGTGCACTATCTTTTTGAGATGGAAGTGACAGGATTTGGCAATTGTTTGAACATGAGGGGTGAAGGAGAGGCTGGAGTCAAAAAGAACACCCAGAGAGCAAGCCTTTGAGGTAGAGGTGATGGTAGCGCCGTTGACTTGGAGGGAGACAGCCACGGGAGTAGTAACACTTGAGGGAGGAAAGACTAGAAGTTGAGTTTAAGGAAGTGAGCAGCCATCCAGTTGGAAATCAAAGAGAGGCAGTCAGAGACACGAGTCCAGATGGGCGGAGAGAGATCAGGAGAGGACAGGTAGATTTGCATGTCATCCGCATAGAAATGGTAACAGAAGCCAAAGGAGCTGATGACTTTACCAAGGGAGGCAGTACAGATAGAGAACAGTAGGGGACCAAGGACAGAACCTTGGGGGACACCGACAGAGAGGGGGGAAGAGGCAGAGTCAGAGAAAGAAACACTGAAAGAGAGGTAGGAGGAGAGAAAGGAGGAGCACCAGGAGAGAGCAGTATCCTGTATGCCAAAATTACGGAAAATGAGAAGATACTGTTAATGATCAACAGTGTCAAAGGCAGCAGTAAAATCAAGAAGAATTAGTAATGGCCACGAGATTTAACAGCAATTAAATCATTGGAAACTTTGGTCACAGCCGTTTTGACAGATTGACCAGTGCGGAATCCAGACTGAAGGGGGTCAAGCAGAGAGTTGGATTCGAGAAAGTCAGTCAATCTGGTGTACACAACTCTTTTGAGGATCTTGGAGGAAAATGGCAGTAGCGAGATAGGGCGGTAGTTGGAAGGGGAGTAGGGGTCAGGGCTGGGCTTTTTCTGAATCAGGGTTACAGTTGCATGTTTGAAGGGTGAGGGAAATGTGCCAGAGGAAAGGGAGAGATTGGGAGAGATTTAGTGAGAGGAAGAGCAAGAGAGATAAACAACGTGCGGATGAGATACGAGGGAATAGGATAGAGGGAACAGGTGGGCGGGAGGACTGGAGCAGAGCAGAAACCTCTTCTGCTCTAGCAGGTGCAAATGAGTGTAGAATGGTGGAAGGAGTGGGGTTGGGTGATGTATTGGTAGGGGAAGGAGAGAAATTAGCAATCTCTTCTATGATTGAAGAGATCTTTTCAGTGAAGTGAGATGCAAAGTTTGTGGCAGACAAGGTGGTAGAAGGAGGGGGAGTAAAAGGGCGAAGAAGAGCATCACAAGTGTAAATTAGGTGTTTGGATTGATGGGACAATGTGCTTATGAGGGTGTTAAAGTAATTAACTTTTGCAGCGGAAAGAGCCAGGCTGTAGGAGCGCAGCATAAATTTAAAGTTTAAAGTTTAAAGTTTCTGATACACTCTCCAGAGTAGGAGAGGTTCACCCTCTGGAAGCTGGATCCTGGTCTTGGGTCCAGGGTGGGTGGAGGACAGCGAGTTCCCAGCCAAGCTGTAATGCTGGACGTGGGGACTGCAGTGTTGATGGTGTCTGGTGGAGTGCTTGGAGTCCTCGGAGTATCGACTGACGGAGGCACCCGGTCGGAGTACCAGGTGGTACGTCAAAACTATCTCTTTGATTGATCTTGATTGACAGCAAGAAGGGTGTAACAAGGTTAATTGATAAAAGTACACAATAACACAAAAATAAAATTCAGCGAGGGAGCAAGATGATAATAGTCCACAAGTAGCTCAAACACCAATACAGAGTCTCTCTTTTCCAATCAGAAAACTGGATAAAAACAGCGGGGTAGGTGCAGCGCTTCAGTAATCCTTGACAGGGTATATGTGGAGAGAACCAGAGAAGAAATAATAGTGTAGTATTTTAAAACTGTAGTTGTGATAGGTAAGATAAAGATGTGCACTCACACTTTTCTGGCTCTTCAATACAGCTCCAGTGTATGTGCCTGAGCAGAATAATCCCTGTATATATATATATATATATATATATATATATTTGAAAACTAATAAAATATGTTAATTGTAATTGTGAACTGTTTTGAACAACCCTTCTACTTGCATAACACTTTAATCAGAATTGTCACGGCGCCCAGCTGATTCACTCCTGACAGAGAGCCGTCTGGGACCTTGTGGGCGCATCTCGTTGGAAGAAATCGGAATTCCACTGGTCCTCACTTACCACTCTGAGCACGGTCTCGGTCCTGATGGGTGCTCCTCCCCTCACACAGCCGCCGGATCTGAAATCATTAGAGACGCCGGCCGCTGCAAGTCAGAGCCTTTTAAGGCTCTTGGTTAACCCCTTAGTCCCTGACCATTGGGAAAGTACGTGTGATTTTATGATAATTTCTCAGTGTCCTGTTGTGTTTTCCATTGTAGTTATCAGAGAGCACGCTTATGGTTTTGTATCTTGTGTATTTTGACTTTGGCTTGTTACTTGTAAATTCCGACTTCTGTATTCCTTTTGAACTTTGGCTTGTAATTTAACTATTCTGGTTTCTTTATTCTGTGACTTTTGGCTTGCTTACCGTTTACGTACACTCTGTATTGTGGACCTCAGCCTATCCTGTACTTTTCTTTTTATACGTTCAATTTGGCCATTTGAAAGACTGGTAATATGCCTTATGGTTTACTTTATTTTTTACTTAAGTCCTGCATGTTGGGCATATTAGTGTATCCTGACAGAATAAGTAAAAAATTTTTTTTTACAAATTGTGAACAACCTATAATTAATTCACCAAGTGACGTTAAACCCTTAACACTATTGGGGCATGCTATGACATGCTAAAAAAGGAGGGCTATAACGCCATTAGAGCCATTATGATCGGGCCCTCCCTGCAGCCAGCACACTTACCCTCCATGCCAAATGTGGGGACTGTCTAACAACTGAGGCAGTCATCCTGCAGCCAATCCCACCCATCCGAGTCATGTAATCATGATGACACTGTGATCACATTACTCGGATCGGCGTGACTGACAGATTGGCTGCCAGGTAGTCAGGCAGATCACTCAACATATAATCAGTAAAATCACTTAATTATGTTGAAAAAATATAGATACATTCTAAATTAAATAAATAAACACTTAGAATTAAATTATGTAAAAGTCATGGGAAAAACAAAATACACCTTCCTTAAAATATATGGATATACATATGAGGATATACTAACAATCATATCAGGTCTTAACCCCTTCACGACCGCTGACGCTTAGGACCGCTGATGGTCCTAAACCGCCATAGCGAAAAACGGGCTGAGGGAAGCGATCAAATATCGCTACCGCCGGTATAACACTGTAACTATCTTCCAGACATCCCAGGCCAATTGCGCGTGTGAGCGATCCGCAGTCGCTCACAATTGGCTGCTGTCAAAGTGAGTGTTACAAACACTCACTTTGACAGTGATCTCTGCCCCTCTCTCCTCTGTAGCATTTTGTGAGGCGAGAGAGACAGAGATCATGATAGTTTGTTGCAGCAGTGTTCAGTGACCATCAGAGAGTATCAGTATTTTATTAAAAAATCACCTTTTAACCCCTTCCCTGCCAGATCTGTTACAGCAGTGCATTTGTACTGTCTGTATTTTTGTTGCCCTTAAAGGGTTAAATTTGTTTTAATAATCTGTGTCTTGGTCTGTCTTGGTCTTTCTTGGTCAGTCAGTTTCCTTCCCCCAAATCTCCATTAGATTAGTTTAGGGATTGCTGTTTAGTCTGTTTTAGTAAAAAAAAAAAGTATACATTTTTTTTTGTGTATTTGTAATTTGTTTTAGTCGTATGTAAAACATGCAGCGTATGTATAACTTGCAGGAGGCATATGCCTTCTTGGCGTCAGACTCTGACGCCACTGACACTGCGTCAGATTTTGACCCAGGTCAGTTTTCTGACACGTCTAGTCAAGACGACATGTCATCTGTGTGTGAGCCGGCTGAAGAAAGAAGCTGTGCTTCCTCTGCTATGCCGAATGTGAAGGAGGACTGGCTACCTCTACAGTTAGTCGAGCCCAGTGTCCCCCCTTTTAGTGCCAACGCAGGCATTAATGTTAAGTAGTGTCCGTCTGTTTAAAACATTTTATAGTTAACAGACACTGGCCTGCGGCACTGCCAGAAAAAAATTCCAAAGACCTTCCACGATCTCTCATAGAGGCAAAATTAAAAAAGGCGAATGTAAAGCACTTCGCAAAGCTGAAGTGCTTGCACTAAAATTTAGGGACAGGAAGGATGTCAACATGCTAACCACCATCCATGACGAGCGCCTGTCAGACTTCTCTGTCCGGGGCAGAGTAGAGTCCAAACCGGTTTGCATGAGGGCGTATAATAAGTACATGGGGGGTGTTGATTTGGCTGATCAGCTGATGCAGCCATATCTTATTTTACGAAAAACCAAAGCATGGTATAAACTTGTCCATATCTATCTGATGCAAATAGCAACCCACAACTCATTTTTGCTTTTTACAAAAATGTATCCAGGGAAAACCACCTTTATCCAATTTCAGTTGAAAATAATTTCTTTAACAATTTATGGAGATGGACAAGGTCCAACAACGGTGCAAGCTGAGTCAAGACATTTTATTTTTAAGTTACCGCCAACTGCTAGAAAACCCCCGCCAGAAATGTTGCCGGGTCTGTTTTAAAAACGGGAAAAGGACAGACACCCCTTTTCACTGTCCTGATTGCCCTTCGAAACCAGGACTGTGTGTAGGAACATGTTTCAAGCTGTACCACACAGAACAGTTGTAAGAAGTGTTCCTGAATTTTTATTTTATTTTTTGTTTCTTTGGAAAGCAGCCATTTTTTGTTAGTCAGTTTCCTTCCCCCAAATCTCCAGTTAGATTCTATTTGCATGAGTCAGTTTAAAGATTGCTGCTAAATGTACATTTGCTACCTGCACATTTGGTCTAACAAGTTTTCTGGCAGTAACACATAACCAGCTGGCCAAAACCAGATGACGTGTGCATAAAAACCAGAATTTAAAAATTACCACTACACTTTCTCTGTTTTTTGGGGGGGCAAAATGGTTGGGGGAAAGAAGTCAAAACACCCCATCTTCTATAACCTTTGATGTCTACTTTATAAAAATATATACTATATATATACTTTCATGATGGTAACATTAACTGGGGGTGCAAAAATATGTCCAACTGAAGATAGACCACGCATACCTATATATCAAGTTGAAAAACTGACATGTACTAGTTCTGATTATTGCCCTTTGGCCCCCAAACAACCCAGCAACCCTATATATGGGGGGTATTACTGTACTCGGGAGATGTTGCTGAACATATTGGGGTGTTGTTTGGCAGTGACACATAACAGGATCTGTTAATTTATGCCTAAAGTACAATGTGTGTGAAAAAAAAAACCAGAAGAAAATTTACTAACTCAATGTTTGACAAAGCCTGGTGGTAGAATTAGTGCATGGAAAGTGTTACAATACCACCATGTGAAATACCCTAGGGTGTCTACATTTCAAAAATATATGGTTTGATGGGGGTAAAATACATTGGCCGGCTTCAAAAATGTCCCAAATAGGACATGCATGCAGGTTGACATGTCAAAATTCAAAGCTGGGAAACTGATATGCGCATCTGCAAAATGTGGCCTTTTAGCCCCCAAACAACCCAACACACCTATACATGGGGGGTATCCCTGTACTCGGGAGATGTTGCTGAACACATATTGAGGTGTTGTTTGGCAGTGACACCTAACATGATCTGTTAATTCATGCCTAAAGTACAATGTGTGTGACAAAGAAACAAAAAAAGATTACTACCCAAAAGTTTGACAAAGGCTGGTGTTAGAATTCAGTGCATGAAAAGTGTTAAAATACCACCATTTAAAATACTCTGGGTTTTCTACTTTTCAAAAATATATGGTTTGATGGGGGTAAAATACATTGGCTCTAATGGGACATGGGTGCAGGTTGATTACATGTCAAAATTCCAAACTGGGAAACTGATAAGCGCCCCTGCCACACGTGGCCTTTTAGCCCCCAAAGAACCCGACAGGCCTATGCATGGGTGGTATCACTGTGTTCATGAGATCTTGCTGAACACATATTGGGGTGTTGTTTGGCAGTGACCCATAACAGGATCTGTTAATTCATGCCTAAAGTACAATGTGTGTGGGAAAAAAACACACAAAAAATTACTACCTCAATGTTTGACAAAGCCTGGTGGTAGGATTAGTGCATGGAAAGTGTTAAAATACCACCATGTGAAATACCCTGGGGTGTCTACTTTTCAAAAATATATGGTTTTATAGGGGTAAAATACAGTGGCCGGCTTCAAAAATGTCCCAAATAGGACATGCATGCAGGTTGACTACATGTCAAAATTCCAAGCTGGGAAACTGATATGTGCACCTGCCAAATGTGGCCTTTTATCCTCCCAACAACCCGACACACCTATACATGGGGGGTATTCCTGTACTCGGGAGATGTTGCTGAACACATATTGGGGTGTTGTTTGGCAGTGACACCTAACAGAATCTGTGAATTTATACCTAAATTGCAATGTATGTGAAAAAATAAAATAAAAATAAACTACCTATGCAAAGTTTGGCAAATGTTTGTGGTAAAATGGCTGCATAGAAAGTATCAAAATATTCTTAGATGAATACCCTGGCTTATCTAGTTTAAGAAAAATATATACATGTGGGGTGTTTTTTGGAGATTTATGACATAACAGTGTTACAATGTCACTATTGATACATTTCAAAAATTTACATTTTGAAACAGCAATTTCCTACTTGTACTTATAGCCCTATAATTTTCAAATAAAAGCAAAAAAACACGTAAACATTGGGTGTTTTTAAACTCAGGACAAAAATTTGAATCTATTTAGCAGTTTGTTTCATTCAATTTTGTAGATCAGTAAAAGATTTTTTAAGTAAAAGTCCAAAAATCTTTTTTTTTTATTTTTCACCATTTTTTTTTAAATTAAATTATATGACATGATAAAAATAATAGTATGTAAAGAAAGCCCCTTTTGTCCTGAAAAAAACAATATATAATTTGTATCGGAACAGTAAATGAGAGAGTGGAAAATTACAGCTAGACACAAACACCACAAAAGTGTTAAAATAACTCTGGTCCTTAACGTACAAACATCGCAAAAACAGTACGGTCCTGAAGGGGTTAAAATTAGGCAAATACAACTTCAGATAAACAACACCACAGGGCATTACATTGTGTCATGATTTATTTAACAAAAATAAAAACAAAATAGAGATGAATATATTGAAAAATAGAAACATAGAATGTGACGGCAGATAAGAACCATTCGGCCCATCTAGTCTGCCCAATTTTTCAAATACTTTCATTAGTCCCTAGCCTTATATTATAATTAGGATAGCCTTATGCCTATCCCACGCATGCTTAAACTCCTTCATGAAAAACTTGTAGAACTACCTTTAGCATCAATAATTTGATGTAACCATTTTCTGACTTAATCAGTTTCTCTGTGGAAGAATTTTACCACATGACAGGAGGCTTCCTATTTTGCATAAAACTCTCTTTACTAACTTCACATAGCAGTAAAGAAAAGTGAAACATTAACCAATCAAAATGCAATAGGAAGTATAGTATTCACAGTAATGAGGCTCCACCCCATCTTTCTTTACTGCTCCATCAGCAGACAGAGTTTTTGGCTCTTCCCTTTAATTTTAATTGCTTATAGTGATTTGTATATATTGCTCCATATATTTACACTGTGCATTCTCCCTTTATAGCTATTTATATACTTGTTTTTTTTTTTGCCTTATCTGTCTCTTGTGGATTCTTCCCTCATCTATATTCCTCTCCTCAGGGACTCTCCCCGACCTCCATACCTTCCCACCTCTAGGGGGGCAGGGGGGGGTTTACTTCCCTTTACCTTGTACCCGTCAGCATTTTTCCGCCGTCGGACAGTTTGTCTATTTTACCTTCTCCCCACATGTACTGTGTGCAACGTTTACCCTCCTCCCATCCACTCTCCGTCGGGGCCCCTCAGCTACGCTCACACTAGCATGCACGACGGGAAGCTTTTTTCCCGTCTCTCCGGCGGCTATATTGGATCTCGTGTCTCGCGAGATTTATGGCCGCCATCTTAGGAGACCCTCGATCTCAGTCATTCCGGCTTCCGACCGCGCAGTCATCAGATTATCCCAGCACATCCAGGCAGAGGTCAGCAGGTTAGTTACCTGTTTCTGTAGACTGCACTATATGGTTACTAGCCCGGTGCATTGGGGTGAGACCCCTATAATACTACTCCTAGTAGTGGATTTCGTGCCACCTTTACTTGTATATCACTGGGTGAGGCCCAGGAAATATTGCTGCTGTCAGGTGGATTTTGTGCCACCTCTATATATACATATAGATATATATAACTGGGTGAGGCCCAGTAATATTGCTGCTGTCAGGTGGATTTTGTACCACCTATATCTATATATACATAACTGGGTGAGGCCCAGTACAAAGCCCAATATTCCCTGCTGGGGAGTCTGGTTTTGCTAATACCACACACTTTTGATTTAACATGCTCACCCTGCTGGGATGCTTAACACTGTTACTCTATATATATTTATACCTTGCTGGGGTTCTACGGGTACTGCTAGTACCACCACTTACTGTGACCTACTCTACAGACTGACCCCTAGCCCCACATACACCCTGTGCCAAGTATTTTTATTCATACCGGTCCTGCTCATAATCATTATGGAATCATCCCAGAACCCTGTGGATTTCCAGGCAATGATTATTGAAACCATCTCCGCCTCTATGGAGAAAGCGCTTTCCAGGGTAATGACGGCATCAGCCGATCAAACCACGAAAATCACTAAAGCCCAACACCATGACTACGATTCTGAGGCATCAGAGTCACACGCTCAGTCTGTATCCCGGCCTAGCAAATGCCACTGGAAGGGTGAAAAGGGGGACGATAACTCAGGCAAAGGCAAGGCTCCAGCCAAATGCCACAAGCCGGCCCCTCCTTGGACCTTGGACCTCCTGGACCCCAACCGAGCACCTCTCTAAATTTATGCATCTGTGGCTCTGCAAACTGCTGGACAAAACGGTGCGCAACCACCTACGCTCTGAATGCCCTCGCCCTTCGCTCCCCGACCACATGGCTCAGACTCCGGAATTCGACCAGGTCATGACCACCTTCATGTCTCGGGGTGGCCGTGACCCCCAGAGAAGGGTGGAGAAAGGATTCCACGGAGTTCAGGACAAGCTGCTGGACTCCACTGGCCCACTTTCCCGCATCATGTATTTGGCGTACGACGCATTTACAAGGGCTGACCAGTTTGATGCCAGCATGGTAAAAGAATGGGCACACGACATAAGAGAATGGGCACAAAGGTGCTTCTGTCTCCTCTGAGAGGCGTAAAGCAGCATTGCTCCGCATAGACGGTAAGCTGGTGGAATTGGGCACCAAGGAGTTAGGACCGCTGGCAAAGGGCAAATAGTTTGGGGAAGCATTCCTCAAAGAACTGAACAAACATGTTAACATATTCATGTGCCTTAATAAGGCTCAGATTTCCATGAAACGAGTCTTCAGGGGCTACCCCCGCTCTCAAAGACCTCAACCCTTCTACCTGGAAGTGTGCTTCTCCTATACCAGAGGAGCTGACCAGGGCAGAGCATTGCATGGCCGCGAGAATCTACCTTTCTACTTCCGCCCGAGCTTGGGGGCATCCACATCTCTCCTGCTTCAGCGTTAAAAATGCAAAATAGGAAGCCTCCTGTCATGTGGTAAAATTGAAGATTATGCTAGCGTTAGTGTACTTATAATCTTAATTTTAGTAATTGCTACAAACCACAATCGACAAATTCATCTGGTCCAACAGACGCGCCAGGATAAAACGTC